GGGCACTTCCGTCCAGCTGTGGGGTCCCTGTCCCTTTAAGACTTTCAAAAAGCACTCGCTTTTCTTTGTCCTGGGGGCACCGGCTGCACAGACCTGCTCACAGGTCTTACTGTCCTGTTTCCCTAGTTTCCAGCACCCCACGCACGCACTGTGTGTCTGCGCTCCAGTGCAGATGGCTGGAGCTGGGTGTTCAGCAGTCCTGGGCTCCCTCTCCCTCCCTGCTCTGACTCCTCTCCTCCCACCGGGAGCTGGGGTGAGGGGCGCTCAGGTCCCGCCAGGCCGAGGCTTGTATCTTACCCTCTTCGCAAGGTACTGGGTTCTCACAGGTGCGGATGTAGTCTGGATATTGTCCTGTGTCTTCTGGTTTCTCTTTTAGGATTAGTTGTATTTGTTGTATTTTCAAAAATATATATGGTTTTGGGAGGAGATTTTCACTGCTCTACTCATGCCACCATCTTGGTTCTCTCCCTTTGCTCATTTTTTAATTGGGTTATTTGTCTGTTTATTATTGAGCTATAAGTTCTTTATATGTTCTGGATACAAGTCCTTAAGAGATATATGATTTGCAAATATTTTCTCCCATTTTATGGGTTACCCTTTTCACTTTCTTGATATGTCCTTTGAAACACAAAACTTATAATTTTGGTGAAATCCAGTTTATCCAGTGTTTAGTTGCTTGAGCTTTTGTTGTCATAGCTAAGAATCCATTGCCAAATCCAAAGTCACAAACATTTATCCCTGTTTTTCTCAACAAATTGTGTAGTTTTATCTCTTACCTTATGGCCTTTGGTCTATTTTGAGTTAATTTTTGTGTGTGATGTAAAAAACCCAACTTCATTCTTTTGCATGTAACTATCCAGTTGTCTTAGTACCATTTGTTGAAGACTGTTCTTTTCCCACTGAATGGTCTTGGCACTCTTGTCAAAAATCATTTGACCATATACACATGGATTTATTTCTAGATTTTTTATTCTATTCCATTGATTTAATATATATATATATCTCCTTGTGCCAGTAACACAATTTCCTCCTACTTTGGTTTTATAGTAACTTTTAAAGTCAGGAAGTGTGAATCCTCCAACTTTTATCTTTTTGTTATTTTGTAAATTATTTTTATGTCTGTAAGAGATACTGACTGGTCTGTATTTTTCTTGTGATGTCGTGGCTGGTTTTGGTATCAGAGTAATACTGGCCATGTAGAATGATTTGGGATGTGTTCCCTCCTTTTCTATTTTTGAAAGAGTTTGTGGGAAATTAGTATTAATTATTCTTTAAATGTTTGGTAGAATTCAGCAGTAAAGCCACTGGGACTTTTCTTCATGGGTAGTTAATTCAATCTCTTCATTTATTATAGGTCTTTTCACATTGTCTATTTCCTTTTGAGTTGGTTTTGATAGTTTGTATTTTTCTAGGAATTTGTCATTTCATCTAAGTTACCTAATTTATTAACATGTAATGTATCTTATTATTCCTTCATAGTTCTTTTTATTTATGAGAAGTTGGTAGTAATGTCCCCTCTTACATTTCTGATTAGAGTAATTTGAGCTTTCTCTCTCTTTTTCTTGGTCAACTTAGCTAAAGGTTTGTCAATTTTATTGATCTTCTCAGAGAATCAGCTCTTGGTTTCATTGATTTCTCTGTTGTTTTCCTACTCTGTATTTTATTAGTATCTGCTCTTTTTCATTTCCTTCTTTCTGTCTGCTTTAGGTCTAGTTTCCTGC